ACACCAGGAAGTACAAATTGAAAAAACATTTGTTGACTTTTCACCCAGAGGTATATGTAGATTATGTTTATTAAAGATTTGATGTTGAAGCGAGTCTGTTGATGTATACTATTACAGAACATTCACAAACCTCTTTCCAGGATACTTACCTTTCCATTCCATGTTGGATTCAACTCGCTAATCATCCTTGAGGTGGTTGGCCATCAACTATCTTGATAACTAGCACTCAACAACAAATATGTTAATTAAGATTATATAAAAGGACGTACCTGGATCTGTAAAGAAAACAAAACATTTTTTTCTCAAAATATTTCGAGAGATTTCTCCCTCTTTATCAATTTATTGCACAGTGAATTTGAATCGAAATATTTTGAGAAAAAAAAAAGTTTTTTTTTCTTTACAGATCCAGGTACTCCCTTTTATATAAGCTTAATTAATGGATCGCCTTTTGACTCAAAATATGTTAATTATCATTGTGTTTTAGTAATTAGTATATTAATACGTTTTAGTTGCTGAAGAAAGGCTCTTTCCCGAAAGATACTTTAATCAATTAATAAAAAGTTGCGGCGGCTTATGCCTTTTGAGTAATCTGTAGAAAATATGTTGTTAGAATGCTTGGAGGAATGAAAGGGATGGTAGAAATCTTTGACGGTATTCTTATCAAAAATCATCCTAATCAGACCTTTATTGCTGTTGTTAAAATGGGATTTAAGACATTGATAGACATGCACTGTGCTCAATTGGATGCAGTTGGAAGCAATTCTGGGAGTTCTCCGGACTCTTCTATTAACTATTTATTATGAAGGTAAGTTTGAAGTACTGTCCTTGTTATTAAACTTTCATTTTACACGTTAATATTCACTGGAGAATACTTGGTAGATTTTAAAAAATGGTAATCTCTTCAATTCACACTACACGATTATTTTCTTTTAAAAAAGGGGGTCACATTGTGTCATCGAAAGATTGAAGTAAAAATTAAATGGTTGATGCGATTTATTTATTTTTTTAAATCTATTCAATCTACAATGTAAGGAGAGGGAGAGGGTAGAGCTCAGTCTTTATGAAGTTCCTATTAGTGTTCATCTCAATTTAAATATGAAATTTTGCTATATTCGAATAATTTTAAGAATCCTGAAAAAAAAATAACTTTGTTGATTTGATATTTACAAAAAAAAAAAAATGTTACTGAATCTGTACAAAAGAAAACATAATTAACATTAACATAAACAAAATCTTAATTAGCTTCGCATTTTTTATTCTTAGATTCAATGATTCATTTAATTCAAACTCTGCCATCGCCAAGATACTTACTACAACTACAAGATCTTGACTGGGTGTAGTTCACCTCAGGTATGTGCTGCAGGCTACGCCTCCTGCCCCATCTGTCTCAAGTCCATCAACAAGACTAACCTCCAGAGACATCTACGGATTCACTTAGAAGTCCGGGAAATCTATTCCTGTCCAATCTGTTCCAAGTCTTACACGCAGAAATACCGGATGAAAAGACACTTCATAGTTTCCCATCCTGACACCATGGTCGTTTAAATAAAAATTTATAGTCGGTGTGTGAGATTGTTAGCTTGCTTTATTGATTGGAGAAAACATGCATTGATTACCATTGATCTATCTCATGTCTATCTCTCTCGGGGGGTCGGTGGAAGGATGGTCTAAACCGTTGGTTTTCGACCACTACGACCCGGGTTCGATTCCCGCATTGGGCACTTTTTTTTCTGATAAAAAAAAAATGCTACAATGGCCCCTGATTCTTTCAAAAGTCCAACCCCACCAGTGAGTGCAAGTAACCAAATGGGGCTCTGGCACATTTGTAAGTGCAAAATCGAACTGCTTTTCACATGTGTAGACATGTGGTGCACTTACAGTAAAAGCAGTCGCTAACTACCCACCATAATTATCATGGCCTGTACCAATGTGATTAGCAAAAAAAAAAAAAGTCTATCTCTCATATCTAATGTTCTGAACAAATCAAGTGTCTTGAAGACAAAATAATCTTTTTCAACTCTTTTACAGCTGTTTAAGCTAGTAATACGGCCGACTTTTGATAATAATGTCAATCATTTATATATGTTTTCCCCTGCTTTCTCTTAATAATAACTTCTACCAGGCAGCCTCTATCTTCACGATTCTACTTAGGCATAACTTATAAAATTCTCTAACTGTAGTCTAATTAGTCGTTTTCCATAACTAAGATCCGTTCAAACTCATACTAAAACAGCTTTTTGTCTTTTATTAAATTTTAAAAAAAGCCCAATGTTTTACCTTACCAGGAAGTTCAAACATAAGACATGATCCTGCACATTGTGATGTCGAATTATTGCTATCTACATGTGGTGGGTGTACTATATAAGTACATGAAGTCGTCTCTCTGCTCAACAAGATTACCATGGTATGTATTCTAGTATCTTTTATTATAATCACAATGTTGTTAGGAATAGCATGGATGGTAGAATACACTTTAGAATATGTATTTGAGGAGTACAACAACAACAACAAAAAGCTTTATTAATACCTTTTAGTCTTATACAGATTCTCCAAGCAGAAATGTAGGATACATGCAGGAAAAAAAATAATAGTACCTTAATGGTAATATGATATTTATATACAGGAAACATTATATAAAACAATCAAGCTAATAGATTAGTCTGAGTAAATTGGAGGGAAAGAAATTTATTATACATGGATTTACCGCGGATTCACCGCAAATGAAGATAAAAAAGCAAAAGCTAATCACAATCAATATTGAGATAATGAAATTTATACATTATAATTAAGACAATTGATCTCATTAACATATTTGAAAGGGTAGTATTTGAGGAGTATATAAAGTGAAAAGTTCAAATGGCTGCGCCACATAGGGAGCAGTTCTTCGTTTGTCTCCAAGTCACAACTAGATAACGGTGTCGAGTTGGTGAACTGAACTCGGATTGTTGACAGTGTCCACTGGTAGGTGCATAAAACTGGTCAAAAAGAGGTCAAGCTTTATATCTTACTTCAACAAGTAAGAATTCTTCATCAAGTGTGATTATTTCTTTCACCAAGTATCCTTGCTGCATCCAAACACGTTATATCAGGAGACAAAGTCACCTTTCTCTGAAAGCCCCATCAATATTCAATAAATATTGGGGGAAAATACTGGGAGGGTTCACCACTGATGAGCCAGGCCTTCCCTTTAATTTTTCCATCGCAGTAAGGACAGTAGAAATTGTTTTATTTTAAAAAGAATATTACGCCTCTAAAATAGTTTTGTAATTTGATAACAGATGGCGCGCTAGTGCATCGTAATATTATATTTATATATACTTTATTGTATTATATTATTTATTATATTTTATAATTATTCTCCCTGGAGAATTTGATCTCTCTGGATTTCAACAATCTGTGCACAAGGTTTATGTCAAGTCTTTAGAAGAGGTTTAGAGCTTGAGACGAAGCTGCTCTAGGGAAGCAAACAATGCGTCCACCAAAAAAAGAAAAGATCCGTAAGTAAGATGACTCCCTTTACCAATCATTTACTAACTACATAACTACATTTACCACAAAAGATGGCTTTCTTCACCGAGTAAAGGAATTTACACACGTAAGTACAATGGCCTCATTCACCAATTACTATTGTTTCTTTTAACAAATAAGGCCCATTGATGATAGCATCATTGTAGTAACAATGGTGTATATTTAAACTAATAACGAAGGAATTATATTTTTATAAAAGTTTATTTTTATATATTGTTAAAAACAGAAAGCTTTTACTTTTTTGTGCTTCATCAGACCTCAGACCCTGAAGTACTAACGTACGGAAGCTTGTCATTTTGAGCAGTAAAAGGAAACCTTTTGCAAATCCTTTATGCCCTTATTTAATTGTAACTATCCTTTAACTACGAATACGTTTATGTTATCTGTACTTGTTCTCAGAGTATAGTTTGCGACAGGTCAGAACGTCCGTTGTGTCATCTGCCACAAGTCCTTCAACCGGACCAACATCCAGCGACATCTGAGAACCCACGACGAAGTCCGAGAAATATTCTCCTGTCCTGTTTGTCAGAAGTCCTACACCGAGAAATACAAGATGAAACGACATCTCTGTGTCTCCCATTCTATTATTATCTAAACTTGTTATTATTTCCTCTGTATTTCCACTCAATGCTGTGATAACTAAATTAAATCATATTATGATGAATCTCTGTACTTTTATTTCACATCGTCCACACTCGACTGTTCCTTCTGTTTTAGTCCGTATGCCCCTCCTGTATATATCACAACCTGTTTCAAGAGAGAAAGAAAAAATATTTCAAAATTACACCGAAATTCCAAGGCTGAGAGGATCAATTGAAGGACGCTGCCAAATCATTGACTTAAACCTATGACAATGGTATGTATAACTATTGGGAAATCATGTTGAAAAAAGTTTTAGTGTACACACAATATCCTATATAAATAAAAACGAAATGTTTGTTCGAATGTATTTGTGTGTTTCCATACTCTATTTGACCTAACCTGTTGAAACTTTGACCCAATATAGAGCTAGAGGTGTCTTGAAGGAATCAGTTTCTGGAATAGGTCTCAAAATATTAGCATATTCTGGGGTCATGTCAATAAACATGACAATAATATATCAATGGAGTAGCTAATACATATATATATATATACTATATTAGTACTACTAATAAAAATGGCACTAAACTCTCGTTACAAAATCTTGGCGGACAAACATCCACTCTCGAGCTGAACCGGGACATTTCTCCAATATATTTGCATAGTATGCACACTCTTGAATCATATTTGGGACTTGAAATAAACTATCAAAATAATTTATATTTCGAAAGATTTTTCTGTTACAAAATATTTCCTTGAAAAAGAAAGCAATATTTAAGAAAGTAAGATTTTGCCTTTCCATTAATAGCTTTCATATTCATATCAAAATATGCTTCTAACTATATTTATTCAATAGCACATATATTTTGTGTCTATGCTGATGGGAGAGGCAGGCCTTTATAAAAGAAACCTAGTGGACATGGCATCTGCCCGGTAAGCGGAACACTGTGGGTTCGATTCCCATCCCTGGACACTTTATTTTTCCGTTTATCATTACTCTTCACAATTCATCCTTTCATACTTCATCCCCAAGGTTAGAAATAATCGTTATTTCTCCTTAAAATAAATTTCGATTTTTTGTCAAAAGAAACACATGCGGGATAAATTTCAAATGTCGTTCTACAATCATAAGCCGCATTATCTTGTATTATGTTTATTATAAGTTTAATCTTTCTTTGGAGGTAGGCATTCACCCCCAATCTGGGAAATTCCAAGTTCTTAATTTATTATTCAATATATGACCACACAAATTCCATTAAATTTTTCCATTCGACATCGGTCTTTTAACTCTAGTCAATATAGGATATGTGTGTGGCCATCAAGATAATAACAATCATTGAAATTTCTGGCCTTGTAGATACATATAGAGTAATATATTGTCAATCCATTAATGTCACACATGTGTAGTAATAGGCCAATACTGTGAAAGATCATGTGCTAACGTGTGATTTCTCCAGGTCCCAGCATCCTCTGCCAAGTGTGCCACAAGTGGTTCAGCAAGGCCAACATCCAGAGGCATCTGAGAACGCACGACGAGGTCCGAGAGATGTTCACCTGTCCTGTCTGTTTCAAGTCCTACACCGCTAAATACAAGATGAAGAAACATATCATGATACTACATCCCGAGGTGATGTGAGGATATCTCAAGATTATCCAGACATATTCCATCATCGCAATATTTTGAGAAAATATAAGAGAAACTTGATATCATCCAAGTTTTCTCGAAGACAGCATCAACACAGCGGGAGTACCATTTAAAGACAAACCTAAGCATCAACTACTTGGGCCAACAATACAGCTCTAAACATTTCGATTCTTTTAAACCATTGAAGTTGTTCATTTTCTCAAAAAGAATGCTTCTTACTATTTTAATACTTCGGCAAGAAAGAAATACCTCCCATGATATTGTGTGACTTATTTATGCCTAAAATCCAATCACCCGTTATATCTAGATAGGTGATAGCATTCACTCATCATCCCAATCATATTGTTCCCACATAGATCGGGACCAACATTCCACTGAAACATTCCACAAACTCTTTCATCATCAAGTGATAACAATCATATTACTATTATTAAAAGTTTTATTTGAGTATGTTTATCTTTGTTATTTTTGTGTTGATTGAGAATAATAATAAATTTAATTGTGTTTTTGTTGTTTGAAGTGTTATTTATTGTTTACACAGCCATCCACCGAGAAACATTGCAACACTGATCCAATGTCCTGCTGCTGTCCAACTGACGAGATTTGGAATCCAGGCTGCTACATCCCCTGTCCTGTTTGCTGGAAGATAGTGAACAAGTCCAGCATTCATCGACATCTTCAAACTCACGCGGCCATCAGGAAGCTCTTCTACTGCCCCTCCTGTTCCAAGCCCTACACCGACAAGTACAGAATGAAGAAACACTTCCTAGCTGCACATCCTCAGGAATCGGATCTCTTTGCTGATTAGATTGTCTTGCCTTCTTTGAATTCATCGGTGAAATGTCTATCGATTGAAAGAAAAAAAAAGGCATTCTCTTCATAAAAGAACATAGTAAAGTTTTCCATCTTTATTTTGTAGATCTGAAACGTTCGGTGTTATACAACTGGATGAATCGGTTTACTTCGTTGAATAGACTTGCTTGCCTTCTCTTTGACTTGACGCTATAACCATGTATTGATGAAAACACTATTCCTATAGCGGACATTTATACTTCAGTAGGCTTCTATTTCCAATATTTTATAGATCTGCAAGGTTTGTTTTCACATCTAGGAGAATCGGGTTTCTTCGTTGAATAGACTTGTTGCCTTATTTTTGACTTGACGCTATAACCATGTATTGACGAAAACACTATCCCTATAGTGGACATTTATACTTCAATAACCTTCTCTGTTTCCAATATGTTATAGATAGACAAGGTTTGGTTTTACATCTAGGAGAATCGGTTTTACTTCATTGAATAGACTTGCTTGTCTTCTTTGACTTGACGCTATAACCATTTATTGATGAAAACACTCCCTATAGTGGACATTTATACTTCAGTAACCTTCTCTGTCTCATATATTTTATAAGATAGACAAGGTTTGGTTTCACATCTAGGAGAATCGGGTTTCTTCGTTGAATAGACTTGTTGCCTTATTTTTGACTTGACGCTATAACCATGTATTGGTGAAAACACTACCCCTATAGCGGACATTTATACTTCAGTAGGCTTCTATTTCCAATATTTTATAAGATAGACAAGGTTTGGTTTCACATCTAGGAGAATCGGGTTTCTTCGTTGAATAGACTTGTTGCCTTATTTTTGACTTGACGCTATAACCATGTATTGGTGAAAACACTACCCCTATAGCGGACATTTATACTTCAGTAGGCTTCTATTTCCAATATTTTATAAGATAGACAAGGTTTGGTTTCACATCTAGGAGAATCGGTTTTCTTCGTTGAATATACTTGTTTGCCTTCTCTTTGACTTAACGCTATAACCATGTATTGTTGAAAACACTATAGCGGACATTTTTTTTATACTTCAGTAACCTTCTCTGTTTCATATATTTTATAAGATAGACAAGGTTTGGTCTCACATCTAGGAGAATCGGTTTTCTTCGTTGAATAGACTTGCTTGCCTTTTTTACTTTGACGCTATAACCATGTATTGTTGAAAACACTACTCCTATAACGCGGACATTTATACTTCAGTAGGCTTCTATTTCCAATATTTTATAAGATAGACAAGGTTTGGTTTCACATCTAGGAGAATCGGTTTTCTTCGTTGAATAGACTTGCTTGCTTTCTTTGACTTGACGCTATAACCATGTATTGACGAAAACGCTATCCCTATAGTGTGGACATTTATACTTCAGTAACCTTCTCTGTTTCATATATTTTATAGATAGACAAGGTTTGGTTTCACATCTAGGAGAATCGGTTTTCTTCGATTCTCATATTTTCTTGCTTTCTCCGTCTTAACGCTCAAGTCCATTACATGTATTGGATAAACATTATCTCTCTAGTACAACGAATTTCTTATCAATATTTATTCTTCTACATTCCTTCCTATATTTGTAGATTTGAATGCTCGGCCTTACTTATGGACGAATACAATTTCTTCATAGATTAGATTTGGTTATCTCTTTTCTACTTTTATCCCATTGTGGTAGAATTGAGTGTTGAAGAAACACTGAATTTATAATAGACACATTAATATTTTGGTATTTATTTATCTACATTTTTGTTCCTATTTTGTAGATATGAAATGTTCGGCGATATAAATGGAAAAATCTGTTTTCTTTGTTGATTGGTCTCCTTGTTATTTGATAATTCAACGGCCGTGTGTTGGTGAGGACAAACTCTGCAGCTATACTCGATGTTTATATAGCATTTTGTTCCTATTTTTGTACATCTAAAATGATCCAAATCTTCAAGAATGGGAAGTTCCTTCGTTAGTCCTTTTTATGCCTATATTTAAAGTATATATATGTGCAAATATTGGCGATAAACGTTCCATCTACAATTGATCTTAATATACAGGGAAATGTATTTATAGGGATAGGGACCGAGATAGAGGTTGTTAAGCGACTATGTCGTTAAGCGAACATAATACTCGACTTATATACTTAATTTAGTTTTTAGAATTACATGTAGTTGATGTAACAATATTTATATTTACTGGTAAATGGTAAATAGACAGAACGAGCGCTGCTGAGTCGTGATGATAATTTTTTTTTTACTTTCTTTTCTAGTTCGCAACGTGTCACATCTCAGGATTTAACTAAATCAGTTCGTCGTAAAGACGAATTCGATATTAAATGGAACGTCGCTAAAAGATCATAACTAACAGAAAATCACCCGATTTTCTGTCTAACAAAAAGTATAAATCTAAAAAAAAACTTAGGGCTTCTCTCTCTCGTGTGCCATTAGCCTGAAACCATGGTCTCTAGGTTGACGCTTTTCAGTTTTCCAAAGCTGGTGTTGTGGCTTTGTCGCCGACCCGAGGTCGCTAGTTTGCGGCGACGGTCAATAGATGGCGTCTAGTTTTGACGCTTAATTTGACGGAAGAGGAGCCCTATGCTTTTTTTAGATCAATTTTCTCCCGGCAAATTTTCCATCTAAAAAATATAAAGATGACGAGTTTATTGGGATGTTATTATCACAAGCTTTCGTACTTACAGTTCTTTGTCTGGTGGACATTGTAAGAAGCACAGCTTATAAAGTTCTCTAGTACGAAAGCTTGTGTTAATGACAGCCCAAAAAAAGAAATTTCCTTATACTTCTCTCTTGTTTTTGTTCCTATAAGGTTGTCCCGAAATTTCGTGTTTTTCTTAAAACGTTGTTTTTCTTTATTACTTGGCGAATAACATTATTACGGCTAATACATAATAATACATAATACAATTACTTATTACATAATACAAAGCCATTATACATAATGGCGAATAATATTGGTATTTCCATTTTTTGCAATTACGAACTTTTGGGACAACCTTGTATTTCCGCAGATCTGAAATACTCGGGGTCGCATAACTAGAAGATTTCTTCACTGATTGAAGAATCTCGCCCTTCTGCGTATTTCCAGTTTATAATGGTATCTAATTACAAGTTTTTGGGAAACATTGCATTTAGGATAAGTATTCACATTTCCTATACTTTACGTTCCTATTTTTGTATATATGAAGCAATACTCACCATCTTTACAGGTCCAGGGTTATTTAATTAGATTTGTTTTTTCGTTAATGTTCCATCAGTACCAAATCATATATTGGGCAAAGTTACCATTTTTTATACCAAATCATATATTGGCATATTTATACAATATTTCTGCTATTTTGTCGTTTTTATTTTGTGCCGTGTTGAAATACTCTCACTGTTGCCCAGTGCCTTGATTGGCTTAATGTACTTATTGGCTGTATCTATTGTTATTATTTGCATATTAGCATTTATATATCGGTATTTATTATATTTACTTATATTTTTGGGATTATTTGTGTAT